AAGACGCGATGCATGTAATGAGCATAAATTATCACACCATCCCTGAGCATCTAAAACTGACACAAGAGAGTATCTTGTGCATCATATTATGACATGTGGTCCACTGACAAAGCGGCAGTATTTGACGAGTTTTTGGATGAGAAAGTGTTGAACCAACTGAATACCCCTCCACTCACTACTCCCTTTCAAAGCGTACAGGAGAACCCACAGTGGTCTGAACATCAACGTAAAAATGTAAAAGGCGCTCTCTAGAGCTGGTGTCCATCCTGGGCTGTAGAAACATGGCAGTGCAACATAGCACACTACATGGAAGTGGACCCGCTCCCAATGTAAATATAAACTGCTCACTCTAAGGTAACAAATTTCAGTAACTCTCTTAGGCCCATTGCCTAAACCCAACAGGAAATCAGCAATTTTGAATTCGGTGATCATTTTTGGCATTTTCCATGTGTTGTATTTTAACAAACTCCTCATACAGATTTAATCGGATTGCCTTCAAACTTGGTTTGTGTGAGTTCTAATAAAAACAAAATTAGAAATATTACATCCTCTTTCTGCCACTAGATACCACTTAATCTTACACACTGCTTCTTTGAGTAAAATGGATACCACAGTGAAGAAATGTGCAGAAATAAAGTCCTGCATTCAACATTTAGTAAGCAAAATATATATATGTTATATACCAAAATTAAAATTATGCAGAAGGTTCCAATTCAGAATCATATATATTATATTACTAGATTAAAATGAATAATTCTCTAATGTATAAGCATCACGTTAATGATGAAACTAATAAAGCAAACTTTTACTTAACATACTTTATTTACAGCCAGCTATCTTTAGGTATAATAAAACATAATGTTTCTTTGCTGATTTGATTTTGTTGTAATAATCTGAATCTGAGGAGTAATTCATGTTGTCAAATAAATGTAGTGAAATAAAAACTACAATATACACCCTCAGAAATGTGGTGGAATATAAGTAGAAAATAGAATAACATGGAATTACTCAAGTACAGTAAATATTTAAAAAGTATTTAATACAGTACTTGAGTAAATGTAGTTAGTTGCTTTCCATCCCTGCCAAAATAAAGAGGGGTTTCTTTATTGTTAGAGATTTCCAGCTCAGTATTTGCATCAGTATAACATTACATAAAATGCATGTGTGCTCGTGTTTGTTTGCAAACAGCAGATGCTAATTAGCATCCATTAAGCGCTGATGGCACTCAGAATGTCATCAGGATCTGAGGTCACCGATGACTCACAGTTTGACATTATATAGGGCATGATGATTGTACCCTTCTATAAATGTCTCTCGGTCTTTATCTCTTTCTCTCACTGAAAGACAAACAAAGCATCATGAGAACATGTGACTGAGCTGAAGGTCCATTATTCCCTATGGATGTCTTTCCCAGAGGTCTAAGGTCTTTAGACACGACCCCAGCCTCTTCCCAGCCATAAAGCTGCTCTCAAAGCGTGGGTGGGCTCCCTCTGCCTGAATTATCACCATGCTTCATTTTAACACTCCAGAACTAATAAAGCTGAACAAATCTGCTTTATTAGAAATTGTCTGAGAGTGATTTGATCAGATTTGATTGACAGTGCTGGCAACAGGAGCAACAACCCCACCACTGTCATCAAAGTTCAGCTCAGATGTTGCCAAATCCTGAATAGTACACAGAAATATGTGACACCCCCCTTTTACCCTCCCACTTGAAAATTGAACAGAGCGCAGATAAAAACACAAGTACATAAATCTCTCATGTAAAAATAACACAAACTGTTCAAACTTTGGCAGCAAATTGTGTGTTGGTGTAGGACTCTATCACTGATTATAAGAAGCTGTTTGAGACATCAGGTTTTTAGGGCCTTTGAGGGGGCTCAAGCTGTTTGGGCTTGGGTCTAAACAAGGAGGTGGCTGAGCAGCAACAACAAGAGGAACAGCACTGAACAATGGCAACATTGCTAACGGGGTTAAGTAGTGATAACCAGGGGGGAACTGGAGGGTGGGCGCTTCTCTTCCCTGATAATGCTTTCCCAATATCAGGGTAATGAAAAAGGTTAAAGAGAAGAGAAGTCATGGGTAGTTGGGGAAGTCATTGACATTTGGGTAGGACATGTGCAGTACAATCTGGCCTGCACTTGCCAAAAGGCTTGACAGCTGGTGCACCATCATAGAACATGGGAAAGATTGACTAGTTTTACATATATTTTATACCAGAAAAAAAAATATGGATGGGAATTACTGTTCTGCAGTTTTTAATAAATAAGTCTTTAATAAATGCTTTCTATATGAAAACCTTCTATTGTCTATCCACCATCATCAAAATCAGTATACCCAAAAAGTTTTTTCAGGCTGAGTGCACCCAAGGAGGCTAAAAAAGAGCTACACCCAGAGAGCACCTGTGTGAACGCCATCCCTTTATTTTTAGTGTTGTCTGCTGTAACCCTCCAACATCACAGCTGTGTCATACCCCAAATGTCCGAGATGGTGTCCCATCCTTCATTTAATAGTCTTGCAGTAACTGTCATATGAGCACAGTGCAGCAGTGGTCAGCCAGCCAGTGGTATACACACATGCACTAACATGCCCATGTGGCCGATCCGGCTTACCACAACAAACCACAGAGAAGCTCGGATTACAGCACACACACAGGGAGCATGACTTCATTCTCTGTTCAGGACACCATTACTCCACTATACCAGATACAGATTTGCAGCTATATTAATGCTCTGAATGTCACATACAGAACCTTTAAAGGGGAACGGGGGAAGCAAGGGGAAACAAAAGAAAAACAGAAAATGTAATCTCAAGACAGGCCACATCCTGTATGGATAAAAGTTTCAAAATCAAAGAAGTACTCAAGTAATTTAATATTGCACTTTCATGAAATTGGGGGACTCAGCAGAGACAGAGTTAACAAAGTATTGTCAAAGTTACAGCAGTAGAGGCAGAGATATCTTGACTGTTAGTCATGGGTCAAACTGCTGTATCATAGCTTTTGCTAGACCCTCCCTGTCTGGTAAATGTCCACATCTTTCAAACTACAGACCTCCAGAATGTAATGCAGGCCTTCTGTTATGAATTAGTAGTGTCCACGCCCAAGCTGAGATAGCCCCGATGATATCATCAGAGCATGAAGAGATGGTACAAAAGTTCCAAGGTTTTCTCAAAAGACCATAAATTCTTATGCCTGGATATTACCGTAAATTACACTCCATCCAAAAATGTGTATTTCATACTGGTGAATATTGTCATTACTGGACACTTCAGCTCTGTGTGTGTCATGAGCCACAGGGAAATCAGCCTCTAACAGCATAAATATTATAATCTATCCAGTAAGGTTGGTTCTATTTAATACATGAAACTGTTCACGGGGGACACTCAGGTTTGTTGACCACATAAAAAGTCTTGTAGTTAGTAAGATGCTTGGCCTGTTTATACTGACAGGGACAGTGTTTACAGATGCACTGGCCGCAGCTCAACTAGGTTATGTTTAGGGACAGCAACAGTCAGACATACATGAAAGTCCATCATCCAGCTTTAGATGTTTAACAGTGCCCTCTACTTTAGCTCCAACATTACCCGCGTAAAAACCACAGCTATATGTAGACTCTTCAACAGCTATACTTCACATACACAGTAGCCTTATAATCTGGGCATTAGTTGCCACGTCAAGAGCAAATTATTATGCCCAACATGCCATCTAGTGGTCTATCTGGGGATCATAATCTGTGTTTAATTTAAACCAGATTTGACTCTGTTTGGCCTCTAGATGGTGATAAATTCATTGGTACATGGCTTGGACAGGGTCTTATGGGAAATGTACTGTATATTTTCCATTGTAGATGAATGTATTTGATGCGTTATTATGTTATTATATTATGAGTTATAGTTATTTCACACTGAGAAGCAGGTAGTATGAAGTGTTTTGATTCAGTGTGAGCTTCGTGACATAGTTTTAATTTTGTCTGTATAAGGACAAACAGCAGTGTCCCTGGTTTGCCCCACTGAAGTAGTCTGGCGCTCTGCTATGACAATATGTCTTGGCAAGACGAGAAAACACCACACACACTCTCAAACAACTGGGTCAGCTACACACACACGCACTCAGCTGAGACTTAGAGGAGCACATTTATAGGAAGACTCCTGCTGGTTGACATGGTTGTGATTTGATGACAATATGTCTTGGCAAGACGAGAAAACACCACACACACTCTCAAACAACTGGGTCAGCTACACACACACGCGCTCAGCTGAGACTTAGAGGAGCACATTTATAGGAAGACTCCTGCTGGTTGACATGGTTGTGATTTGTCCACCATAGTAGTCTGTTACTGTTCCCATTTTCCCTTTTTTTTTTTTTAAATCTTGCTCCTGTCTTCCACAGCGTCACAGCCAAAAGTAACATACCACAGTATTCAAATAATCAGGAAGGATTGTCTGTCTGGGTCCAGTTTATGAGCTGTGCACACAAATCAGGTGGGTCATTTTTGGGTTATGTCAGCATTGGAAGAGACATATCAAGAGTAACACTGTCCTAAGAAAGAGTCATGCCGCCAAGAATGACAGTTTGCTTAGGTCACCTATACATTAATGCATTTTATTATGAAGCAAATGCTGCCAAGCTGTCTTTAGTGTCAGCCTACATTTGATCTAAAAACACAGACAAAGCAGCAGCCCCACAGAGATTTTCTGTCCTGAACTTCAAGGTTCAGAAAACGATATGCACAAGGATTTCCATTACCAAAACGGGAGAGGATAAAAGTGAGTTTTCCAGTAACAGGAATTCACTCAGTGTGCGAGTGTGTGTGTGTGTGTGTGTGCTCTGCGTATCTAGGTGCCGGCTTAGATTTGTTTAAATTAGGAGAATGCCTTTCCGAGGCAGAGTGGGAGGGAGGAGGGATGAGAAGACATAAACAAAGGAGTCCAACCTGCCGTCTGTGCAGATGGACGACAGCTGCAGAACAGACACATACACACCAGTGCACAGCTTCTTGTTTGGGAGCTTTTATTCTGAAAGTTTTGAGCTTCATACAAAATATAGCGCAATATATTTTCCTCTGCAGTATTTTCAGTATAGCAATAAAACTGACATATTTATTAGAATCTGTATGAAAAACACACCTAAATATTTAGCAAATCTATCTAAGAAAATATACATCATCAAACTGGTTAAAGCTGCAAATGCTTTTTTCTCCTTGTTGTACCAGAAATCTGGAATCACTTCACATCAGTTAATTTTTCCACATATTCTTTTTTAATAACTCCCATAATGCCACTGTACTGAGTCCTGCCCAACATTTTTCAAACAAATTAGCTATCCTGTTCTTCAATGTATCACAACTTGAGGGTGGATGTTGAACAGTAAGTCATCATTGCCTCTGCGAATCTCGAGCAAGAGAGGCTGGTCACGCTGCAACACCTCATGGATGTCTTCAGTGGTCTGGACTGGTTGTCCATTTACTTTCACTATAACATCACCTTCCTTAATCCCTCCTCTAAAACACAGAGCAAAGAAACTGTAGTCAATGGTTTTCTGTAGGGGTGCGTAACGGACGCAAGAGATCCAAGTTTTAATGTAAAATGTGTACATGGCAAACACATGACTGACCATAGATTATGTAACAGGTCGTTATTTATGTAGGAAATAATTTCTAGAGAAACAGTCTTAAAATAGAATATTCCACAAGTAATAACACTATGGCTTTTCAAGAAAATCAAAGTTTGATGCTACTTTGATGAATCATGGTCTCTTTCTAGCAAGATTCAGGGCTGCATGTGTGTGTGTTGTTTGTGTTCTTTGGTTTTTGCACGTGTGCGTGAACATACTTTTCTGCTGCAGTGTCAGGTATGACCTGTTGCACCAAAACTCCACCGCTGACCTCAGGAAAGTCTGGATTCTGACGTTTCAACTCCGCCACGAGACTGAGACACATGAAACACGATACTATTACTAATGTTAAAGCTAATACAAATACTACTGACAAGACTGAGATAATACGCTTCTTAAAGGGTAGCGAGCCCATCATCATTTTGCTTAATTAAATCAACCCAGATGCAAGAAAAATGTTGACATTGTATGTTTCTGTAAACCACATATACGTAAGTTATTATGTAGAGGATACACTGAAACTTTACATTTTAACAATGCTGTGGTTGATGTGTGGTTGGGTCTAGGTACAAAAACCACATGGTAATCGTTAGGAAAAGATTGTCTTTTGGCTTTAAATACCCTTTTTTGGGGGCACAATCCTTGCTGGAAAAGCAATGTCTCTGTAAAAACAGAAATGCTTTTTGTCACACTATCCTGGCAGAGAAAGCAACAAAGACTGCTTTTTGTGCCAATATCCATTGTGCCAGTAGGGATCGCTACCAGATACCCATGTTTGGTGCCCAAAAAGTCACTGGAAACAGAGGTCTGCAGCTCGACAGGCATCTTGCCTAAGTGAAAGGCCATCCACCATTCCCTCCACCTCCAGATGACATAGTCAGCTCATATACTATGTCACTTTAGAAATGTTGATATAATACGCATGGAATCCACCAGTGCTAAAACTTTCTCCTGGTGTGTGGGCTGATTAAATCTGTGCTGAAAATGCTCAGGCATTGTAATAAAAAAGTTACATGTATGTGTGTTTGTGGATATTAAAACTCACCCTTCGGTGACAGTAAGCATCCTGATGCCCAAGAAGCGTCTCTTCACATCTGACGCGTCTGAAAACAACACAAAAGTATGAAGTTCATCACATGGAAATTTCATTACGACAGATGTTTGTACATCAGCAGCTCTCACCTGCATCTGACTGTAGTTCGTCTGTGAGTCGTCTTTGCAGTCTTGTCTTTTCTGTCACAACAACAGGGATGGGATTTACTGAGAAATACTAAGAAATAACCACTTTATAAACATCAGGATCCCAAATTACAAAAACTGAATCTATGTGCTATTAGTTTCAACCTATGTGCTGTTCAGGCTTTGACCTCTGACCTTTGCTGTGTTTGGTCTGTGACTCTGTGAGGAAACGGCTGATTCTGTCTGAGGGTATGGCGAAGGAGATCCCTGCTGTCACTTTCAGAGTGTTGATGCCTATCACCTCGCCGTCCTGAAAGAGATTACACACACATACAAACAGGATCAGCAGCACATAGTAAAAAATTCACTGTGTTGGTGTACATTTAGACCGATACGTTAGAGGCTAAAATATCATTTTCATTATCACAAATACCATCTACAGGAAAATAGTGCATCGTTTAATACATTAAATATAGCTATATACACTGTCAGCCTAGTCGTAAGAAGTGAATATTCACATTGTACTTTTCTGCACCCACCAATATTTTACATTTGCACATCTTCTAAATGTGTATGTTATGTATTTCTAATACTGATAAATTTCAATTTGTTTGTATTCTTATTAAATAAATATTTAGTATTAAAAAATGTGGACCTCTGACAGTCCAATAGAATAATCCCCCACAGCTGGAGTCATCACAGCACTACTCACCAAGTTAACAAGAGGTCCTCCAGAATTTCCATACTTCTCATAGATCAGACGAAATTCGAGACAGAGACAGTGACATTAATGATTTTGACACATAAGCAAACATTCAAAATGCATATAACGTATAGTATCATTGTGCATCTGTCCTGAATAAATGACATATTGACATTCTGGGGACTCACCTTCCTTTTGGGGATCAAAAGCAAGTCCCCGTAACGTCAGTAATTCAGTTTTAGGGTGAGACAAGGAAGTCAATGTAATGTCCTTTGAGGTGATGGAAACACAACTGTCTGTGTGCATGTGTGTGTGAGCTCACATTAATGATAGCATCAGTCTGGATGTAGTCCATGTCTGAGTCCTTGATGCCCAGCTCCTTGCCATCTCTCTGAGCGGTGCTGATGATGCCAGTGGTGACGGTGTTCTGCAGAGCGAAGGGGCTGCCAATAGCAACCACAAACTCCCCTGGTCTCAGATCAGCTGAGCGGCCCAGAGACAGCACGGGAAGCTTCTTCTGCTTCCATATGGATTCACATGGATCAAACACAGGTGTGTCAGATAGAGACATTTTGGGCAAATCATACAGAGAGAAAAATGTATGAGGGGTAAAAGAAGTCTGGAATAGACACTGACAAAGACGAAGAGTTCAATGCTTACAAAACTGTCCAAGTATTTGAGATATGGGTGTGAGAATACACACATCAGCGTGGTGTCTCTGAGTCACAGAGCTAGTGTTTAGGAAAGTATTCCCGCTATGAATGTCTAGCAGAAAACTGTCAGAAGTTGGCACGGACAGGATGTGGGTTCTTGCGCAACAGTGCAGAATGTTTTATGTATTAAGGTCAAGAAATGTCTGGAAAATAAAATTTACCTCAGTTTGGAAAAAGAGAAAAAAAGTGATTATGACCGATCAGGGCCTGTTAGTACGCGCTCTCACCTGGGGATTGACCTTGATTGTAGCAATGTCTGCCTTTCTGTCTACATCTCTGACCATGGCGTCATACACGTCGCCGTCATGGAGCTGCACGCGCAGCTGAGGCCTCCCTGTCACCGTGGTAGCTGTGGTTACCACGTGAGCGTTGGTCACAATCACACCTGAGTGGGTCACAATAAAACCAGAGCCACTGGAGAGACGCACATGGCGACCAAACAGAGGATGTCTGGAGACAGAAAAAAGTAGAAGGAGACAGGAAATGTGGAAAAGGCCAAAAAACACAGAAATCCTTTTTTGGGTTGTATATGCGGAATCCAAATGGAACTCATGGGCTTGTGATTATGACATGGGAAGTTGTGTAGGTGATTTGCTTGAGGTTCAAATGGTTAGCTTAGCAAGCTAGGGAGCAGGTAACGTAGTTTAGGAAATGCAAAGACATAATGACAGAGGAATGAGATAATGAGAATATCACTTTTTCCTCAGATATGTTATAAAATTACGAGGAAAAACTCGACTACAATTAAAATTAGTTACCATTTACCAAAAACCACACCATTCCATGGCCTACACTATTTCTGAAAAGATGAAAACATGTCTCAACTCTGAGCTTTCAGGAAATATCCACTTATGAGGCTGTGAATACCAAAGGAGGGGGTGTTCGTATAGACTCTCCTGAATGTGGTTACACAACCTCATCTGAAGGCAGCATAAGGGTCCAACCATCACTTCTGTGCACTGAGAAGAACACATGTAGATGTACCCAAATGATGTCAGTCGGTCTACAATTTAAAGGTTGAAGGGCCAAACTATGGTTGATGATACTATCTACTCAGATTGGTATATCTGTTGTGCAACTACCTCTCCTCTAATATGTCTCCACACACACACACACACACACACATCTCACCTTATGAACAGTTCAATGTGGACAACAGCGGGTGCTATTTTCTCCACTACATCAGCAATGAAGTTGAACTTGTAGCGAAGGCTGCTGGGATGGACCAGGGGACGATCTGTACTGACATGAAGAACACACTGCATTAAGATAAATAGGACACACACACACACACACACACACACACACACACACACACACACACACACACACAACATAACACTTCTGGATTAGGGCTACAACTAAGGATTACTTTCAGTATTGAATACTCATTAGTTTTGTATTACTAATTCTAAAATCCCAGAAAGAAAAATCTCAGTTTCCCACAGTTCAAAGTTTACAAAGTATAAAACTGAGAGAGCAGCAAATCCTGCAGACACTGAAATCAGAAAAAAATGGCAGGTGTATTTTGCTTGAAAATTTACTTAATGATAGATCAATTTTTAAAATGATTGCTCATTAATTCAATCGAATAATTGTTGCAGTTTTATTACAGGTATTGCTTTGAATGCCCACCCCTGCATAAGGTGGATAATAAATGATAATAGGTCTAGTACTACTATGAATACTACTACTACTAATAATAATAATAATAACAATAACAATAAAGATAATAATACATTGTGCAAACGTCTCAGCACATCTACAGTCTAAGTTAAGACAGAATGATTCCTGTTAGCTTTATTTTGTAATATGATGAGTTGGTAGCACAGTAAACTATTAAAGCCACTGGATATGAGCACATGCAGTATAACCCAACTACTGCATCTCAGACACATCTATTATGCACTCAGGATGTTCTATGAATTTTCCCAAACTCAGAAACCTAATTTCTTCCACTGACCACCCAAAGCTTCCCTACCTGCTCTTGAAGGTGAACATGGTCCTTTGTGCGCTTGGCTAACTGCGTCTCTCCCCTTCTGCTCAGCTTTACGGCTGGCTGCTCTCATCTTACACACATTACCGTACGTTTTCCCGTCGCTTCCACACACTTCATGCTCCATCTTACACCGGCAGACCCCCTTGGAGCCCCGCCGCCTCCCCGCAGCGAGCAGCTTGCACTCCAATCCATCCCCGCAGGGCAGGTCGTTTTTGCGGCCGCAGGGGTCTCCCTCGCGCGGTGAGCACACCAGGCAGCAGTTGCATCTATCCGGGACGTACCCGCCAGGACAGCTGGGGCTCGGACACGAGCCCACGTCGCAGCGGGAGGCGCACTTGTCGGAGCGCACAGCTCCGGTGAAGTCGTGCGTAAAGAGAAACGCAGCTATAAGTAAAAGTAACTGCATTCTGATGAGTGTTAACAGCGCCAGAGAGCTCGGATGGGTTTGACTGATTCCTATAACATCATATTAAGTGTCTCTAAAAAATGTTTTTTCTGTGTCCGAACAATAGATGAATGAAAGGCTATATACACTCTGCACTTTACTCCACAGAGTATGGCGCTGTTTGAAAAATGACTGGGCCTATGACGCTGGTGTTCTCAGCTCTCTGTAGATTGCACTCCAGACATTGCCGAGTCATCAGTGCCTGCATATTTTGACAGCCTGGTGAGTGTTCATCACTTAGTTCTGTGAGCAAGTGATACAAGAGGCTGAGGCGCGCTGGAGCCTCATGATATGAAACTGATCATGCGCACCATCTAGTGGGGACAAAACACACTACACAGTTTTAGTGCAGCCTTTCAGTACTGGCGAGTTTTAAAGACACAGTGTGCGTCCCACTCCCCACACTACCATACTAGTATACCAGATTTAGTATGTCCTGATATAAAGTATGTCAAATGCAGTGAACCAAAAATACCAAGATGTTCCACTACATCCCGTTCGATAATGCAGTATGCAAGCCAGCATGCTTTTCAGGCTATTCTGTCCCACATCCCTCTGCGCACCGTACAATACATTATATTAAATGAGCCGCAGATGACAGCTTGACAGCTCATTGACAGCTGTTTGACAACTGATTGACAGCTGTCAGAAGTCACAGTGACAGATGAGAGCACATTAAGGTGACTGATGAACAGCTGATTGGTAATAAAAGGAATTTTAATTGTTTAATTGAATAAAATAATCATAACCAACATCAAAAGGGCATACGTTTTAAATGACAACAGAGAAATGTACAGCCTTTGTAATTTTACTATAGTGAATACAATATGTTAGAATCTACAATGTATGCAGTTATAACACTGCAAAAAAACAGCGTTTTGTTTTATCTCCATGGTGATGTATATATGAGTAAGAGGGTCAGAGTTCAGGGTGTAACATTATGAGGAAGTAGTATGTCCCAATTGTGTGCATACTGCATGCAAGAGTACTTACTTTTTAAGGGCACCTGCAGCGCATACTAAAAGTAAAAAGAAAAAGTATGCTATTTGGAACGCACCCCTATTCTTCCTGTGGGCTACTACAGCCTTCCTCTAAAGCAGAGTCAGGCCCACTTTAATCTAAAACCAGATTACACCCAATAATTTGGATGGATGGATGATACACGGAAACATGGACAACAAAGAAACATCTGATTTTATTTCAACATTTGTCAAAGATTCAATGAGACATCTTCCAAATGTCAAAGATTACTGTTTTATAAATGTCTTCATATATTATTACTGTATTCCAGTGATGCAATTTTTAGAAATGTATAAATTTTCCCTTCCTACAATTACAGGCACGGCCTTGTCACCGGAAAAAAAAATGTTGGCATTGTACGTTTCTGCAGACCAAGGATATGTTAGATTTGCACATTCCATACACATCATATCAGTGTTCATAAAGTGAGGTAGTACATGAGCTGTCTTTTGTTAAATAGAAGGAGGTGGAGGGGATGGTGGGCGACACCTGGGTGAGACGCCAGCCAAGCTGCAGACCATAGCTCAAGACCAACAAACAACAAAACTTGTTTTCTACCAGTCATTGCTGTGTTTCCAGCTACTTTTAAACCCCCAAATGTGGGTGTTTTTCCATTGGAAATAGTGCCGCATACATGGCTGTTCTTTGACAAGACATTACTGCTTTTTAAGTAGGGACTGTGCCACCAAAAGAGGGCATTTTAAGCCAAAACATGATCTTCTACTAACCATAACAAAGTGTTTTTGTGCCTAAACTAAAAGGTAATGCCAACATTTATTCTCGTTATTGGGTTGACAGGCAAGTGTCCAGTGTTACAGCCTGCAGGCAATCTGTGCTACAGCTGCATTTTATATATCTGGTGCTTTTAGTATGTGTTACAGTACAATGTAAGTTGGAAAAGCAATGACAAAAATAATCCAGTTTATAATGGCTGAATCACATTTAGCTGCTTCCATTTTCAGTGTCCTGGTATTGTACATGCTGGGGCACCTGAATACAATCATTAATGTTATTAGTCAACCCTGGGTTTTTTATGAGGAGTCAAAATGTGTGCAGGGATAAAGGCTGATTGTGTTGTCAGCGCGTACCTCCTGCTTGTGTCTGCAAATCACCAATTGTTAAATGAATTAAAGTGCCGTAATTAAACTGCACTATACTGCAACCATAACTCAAAATACAGGCCAGTTTTACTCAAAATATAAGTGATGTATCAAGCAGTTTAGTCAATGTTTTTAGAAGTCCGGCAGGCAATTTTAAAGTGATAGCTCGCTCCAAAAACTGCATTTTGAACATCAAGAGATCACAAACAGTGCCTTTAAGTTCAGCACAGGGGATGTATTCCACATGATGGCAGTGTTAAGCTTTGTGTCCCCCTACATCTTGCTGCAGCTGACACATGCACACTGATGGTATTGCAACACGTTTTCATATTATATTTCCTCTCCAGATGTGTGCTGCGCCTCAGTCAGTGTGTGTGGGTGTCACCTTTATCTAAACGGATGAGCGTGTGGTGACACTTCTACCAGTGACATGGTAGAGGGGGGCGTACCGTGGAGGGAGTGTGTGGGTGCGTGTTGGTGCACGTGTTTTGTTTGCACATGCATGTAGAGATATTTTAATGAGGGCAGTTAAATTATGCACATGTTTGTGTCCACATGACAACATCTGCTCATCAATGCATTCAAATGCAGGCATTAAAATATCATCAGTCTAACCTGCAGCATGAACTGTGAGACTGAGCATCCTTCCACTGCATGTAAGAAACAGCTATGCAGTGATGGTGTCTGTTCAAGGTTTTAGTATCAATACTTTCTCTAAGGTTATTGATTACCAGGATGTTTCCATAACCATGTATATAAACTATGCTAAATGGTGCAGTGTAGGAAGGCTAATGTCCCCTGAATCCTGGAACAATTACACAATTTATCAATTTGTTGATCAGTGCTGAACTAAATTTTCAAGACAAATTGCTGAACATTGAGTAGTTTGAGTGTCTAAAATGTGAGGCATTGTTGCCTCACTCAGTTTTATTGTTAACTGAATATCTATGAGTCAATTACAGCATCACCAAACTACCTCTTTAATTATCAGAATTCTATCAGCAGGCACTCATTGCATGGGAATTATGCTTTGTACGTGACTTTTATGGAACAACTGCAGTATCACTAGTAAAAACAGACATATGTTCATGCAAAGTTGGACAGATAAAAATATATAAATATAACCTTTGTTACTTAGGTACTTAATGTGAAATCTTATTCTGACTTACAGAGAATTTAAATCTGTGGCTGAGGCCATCTCCACAGGTTTATGCCAGTTAAATAAAAATATTATGTCTTATGAAATGCTCTCAGAATAGAACCCGTGTTACTCATGACAGGAAAAGATAATAAGAATTCAAAATGTACTAATAAACATATAGGCAATGTTTTTCTATCCAAGAGGGAAATCGTTCAATTTGTTCAATGTCAAATATTTGTGACTTCCAGAACACATTTCAAAATTTTACACAACCTCTACCTTTCTAATTCATAGAGTTTGGGGGAAAAAAATCAATATAGCATAACATTGCAATATTTTTGTGTGGCAATACTGTGTCATCACACAGTCTCATGCATTGTATTTTTGATTATATAAATTATTAATATGACAAATTAAACTTTAGGTAGCCTGCTAGAATAATATAATCAATTGCTTTTTCAGTTCACTAAATACATTTTGCTGCAAAAAATGGCTGAATTGAGATGAACAGACTGATACTTTATCTTATTAGATAAAACAAATGATGACAAAGTTTTCCTTGGGGACATAGTTGAATAAGGGTAATAAATTGCAATATATTATACACATATACATACTTTAAATCACAATAATATTGTGTTGTGGTTCAAGTATCGTGATAATATTCCCAGCCCTGCTAATATAGTTAATATAGTGTTAAGATTGGCTGACTTGAATGAAAAATGCACATTTTGCAATAATGAACCTGAAACACTGACACATTTGCTTTTTTTTTAGACAAACTTGGAAATATATATTTTAAGGAATACTGGTCAATCTGTAAAAAATCAATCCCAAAGATGTTATTGTTTATTTTGAAAGCAATGTTAATTCATTGATTTTTTTTTTTTTTGATAGACCTCGAGATCCTGCTTGGTAAATACCATACACACAAATTTAAATTTGCCATGTGAACTGCTGTTTAAGAGTTTTTTTGATAGATTTTTCCAGTCTAATGCAGTCTCTGCAACATATGAATAATAAGAAGAGTGTATTCACCATACATCATTATAATGACAATATTCAGTTTCTATGATGCCTGATTCTGTAAAATTTGTTTGGGGTCTGAGATATTGTGATGGGCATTTTTTTTTTTTTTTTTTCTGTATTTATTGTATAGACTAGTGGTTCCCAAATGGTGCGTTATTATCCAAGAGTGGATCACAGGTCCTTTCTGAATGGACTGCAAGTGACCTGCAGATGTGTCAAGTTTATGAAAAAACACTCTTTATTTTTTAGTTCAGTGGATTTCCAGCACAGACCTTTTATTTTTAAATACCATTACCTGCTGTAGAGTGAGTGATTAACCAACAGTTACTTGACAGAAACAGCAAAATAGCTTGATGACATGGTCAAACCCAAGTATGACACCGAATGTATTACACAGTGTGGACCTTAGACTATTGACTGAGGAGAAATCTGGACCTCATGGCTGGGCCAGTTGCGAACCACCAGTATAGACGACAATTTTTCTAAATAGATCAAAAATATGAGACAGATAAATAAGTCTGAAAACAGCTGTTAGTTTCAGCCTTGGATGAACAGCAAGTTAAGGCTTAAAAACACTGATCCTCACAGTGCAACCAACAGAAAAGACCCACAGTGCACTGCAGAATGATAGTTCATTATAATTACCTCATGTGAAGTGTGTTCTCTCTTCTCTCAGTTTTATGGATATACACTGTAAATTCAAATGCCACATAAATGAGCTTAGTAAAGAATTCAAATAGTTTTGTTTTTAAACAAAGACAGTATAATAGAAAAGAAGAAACAGGCTGGTTAGTCTGCGTTTGGATTAAACAGTTATTAATAGCTCACTTTGACTTCAGCTGTTTCTGTTCCCGTCATAAGTTAATCATTAAGTCCACAGGTTTATTGGTCCTGTCACAGGTGTGTGGGAACTGTCTCACCCTGGCTCTGCTGAACACACATTTGTCAAGTGTTTAGAGACAGTAAATGTTCACAGTTGCAACAATATTTTCTATATCATGCTGTTTCTCTTAGCAGTTAGCCAAAAAGCAGGCTGGTACCCGTTCATCTTTATCTGAATCTTTACACCATCAATGATGATTTTTCTGTGAAACAAAACAAAGATTCAAATTTCCCAAATTTTATTTTTCATTTGTTAAATATACAACTTTTCTCATACAATCATTGAGTTGGAATAAAAATTTCAAGATGCATACATAAGAAAACACAACGGCATCGAGCAAGTGTGAAATATTGTCCTCAGTTTTCTTTTTCCTCTTCATATAACGTAATATAAAGGGCAGGGACGAGGTGCCATCCGCCATGCCACGAGGTTCAAGAGAAAGCTGCTTGCCAGCAATTAAATACATGTCAAATAACAAATACATTCATTGTTACGAAAAAAACAAAGTAATTTTGACAGCATTCACTCGTATTGAAATGTTTCGGAGCAAGAATCTGTATAGAAACCGTAAACAGATTACATTCAAGCAATGTGTTTATTACTAGTCCTCTTTCCCCAAATTTCATATTCAAGTTTCAACAATACTCATTTTATTGAGCCTCTTAAAGATTCCTTCCACAAACAGATTTTGGCAGTAGTGAGAGTTGAAGATACTGGGTTTGTGGTTTTGAAAACTAACACTGGCTAAAAGAGCAGTCTGACCCAGTTCTGTACAACCAGTCAAACACTTCCAGCAGTGCGAGTGCACATCTATATTTTAACAAGTAATCCTACAAGGCAAAGCAAATAGTTTGGGACTTTATCCCAGACCTGCCCCAGATTTTTAAAAATCACTTTCTGGAGAGATCTGTGAAACCAGTCCTTAAGATTCCCAAACATACTGGACCACAGATCTGTTTGTGGTTTCTAAGTACTTCTTCTTTGGCCATTAGCCCCACCAAGAGACCCTGCAAGAGACTTCAGTAGGTACTTTGGGTGGGTAGAAAAAAAAATCCTTTCTGCCTCCTAACAATAAACAAAGCCCACCTCTGTGGAAAAGCCGATTATCCAATCAAGTCGCCATGGTAACCACAAACAGCCCCAAGGTCTCTAGGAGACACTGGGATGCCAATCTCTCCAGCTCCCATGCTTCTCTGAGCTCTCTTTACAAAATGAGGAATGGGCCGCAGCCAAGTTTCTTCATCTTACTTTCTATCATCTGTGTCTTCATTTCTTCTCTTGCCAAAGAAATATGAGCAGTCTCCAGTGCGATATTCACATCCTCTCCCTTGCTTCCTGACTTCAGGACAAAAAAAAGAGCTGTTGCAGAAGCCTCTCCTCAGCTGACCTCCTCGCTCGTCTCTGACTACCAAGAGGAGAAAAAGGGGCGCTTGCAGTGGAAGGTTTGTGTGAAGGCGTTGCCAAGTGTGACCACGCGTCCCTGGCCGCCTGAGCGACTGCGCTCCACTACCACCCGGGGCATCTGCACCAGCTGGATGGGGCTCTTACCGTCCTTCAGCGCTTGGGTCAGGTTCAGCACCTGGTGATGAACAGGTTTCATAATGTGTGACAAACAGAAACCATGTTTCTGGTGTACTTGTATTTTATTTGAGTGTCTGTGAGGTTAAAGTCCCCCTCCAGACACATATTAAAGTATGTGAAAATACTCTGGTATGACTAATATTTTGTTTAACATGGTTTTCCGACATAAAAATTAAAAAAAAAAAAAACTCATAAAAAAGGGGCTGGAAGCAGATCTTCTCTCCATTGACCATTGAAAGAGCAGTGCGCATTAAAGATGGCTAGCGTTAGCATTAGAGGAAAGATCAAAGAGATTCAGCCACACATGTTTGAGCCTCAGTCAGACCCAGACTCAGATGAGGGAAACTGGAAACTCTGCTGTCTGAACTGGGGTAGGCTTAACTTTAATGGAGGGCATCTCTAAACACTTCCAAAATCTGAAGCAACATGGATTATGTTAGTCTAATCTACTCTGTTGAAAACAACTTCGATAATTTCCTGTCAAATTGATTTATTGTTTCAACTCAAATGGAAATAGAAGACAGCATCTTGTAGCTGAGGCCTATTAAAGTGGTGGCCTGCGGACCACATCAGGCCCAGAAGCAACTTCCGACTGGCCCAGTTTACATAAATACGATATATCAGTATGACAAAATATGTAAACTACATATAGTTTGTGGAAGTAGCTAATGAGTGAGCCATCTTGCCTCCATCTTATCTCTGTTGAGTTACACAAGCCCCGTGTGAATCAGATAAGATGTACGGATCAGGTAGCAACACTGTCAATCATATTCACAGATCGTTTTCTCATGTGATGCAGCTCTGACCAAGCTTAGAAGCTTTTCACAACATCTGAGCTGTGGTTGAAAAGTCAAACAATACACCCTATGTCTTTTCCTGAACACCTTTCCTTGACCTCGATGGAAAACGTCATGAGGCGAGGTGTGTGTGTGGGAGGAGGGAGATACTGGTAGAAAGAGATTGAGTTTGTCATTGGTTACTGTTGTAGCCGCTTGTTATGGTTCTGAGCATTGATGGCTATTTCTTAATCGGTGTCCGCACTTTGTAATGTGCCTGGGTCAGATATGTGACCAAAAATTTTTTATTTATAAAGTGAAATGATAACCATTGTTTTTTTCCTACTACATTAATTTGCATTTGTTTAAAATTTGTCATTAAAAAGAGCTAAAAAAGGTTTTGAATAGGCTGCTGAAAATGTCTGACCATCTACATTACCTGGTTTTAAAATCCAGCCCAATTACATTTGTAAATGAATAGCCTGATGTAGCCTAAGCAGAACACTAGGCACAGTTAATACATCAAAAAAGAGACGTGCTTTAAAGAAGTTACTGTCTTCTGTTATCTTCCTTTACGCACTGTAATCATTATGCCATGTCACACTCAGTGGTCATTTATCCAAAGAGGTAAAGGGAAAAGCAGGGGTGGAGGTGAGGAACAGAACAGACAGACAAGAAAAAAGAGGCAGGGCATTAGAGGGTGGAGGGTGAGGAATTAGGTCAAGATGGGTGGTGGCATGTTACAGAGCAAACAACAAAAGTGACTGAAAGTAGGGCACAGGAGAGAAAGAGAGGCGAGCAAGGTAGGATATAAAAGGAAGGAACAAAACAGAGGACACAAAGGAGATGGACTAAAAAGGCAGAGAGGCTGATAGGAAAAACAGAGTCAAAAATACTTTAAAAAAGGCAACTCACCTGTCCCCTCATGACAGACATCTGTCTCTCAAACATGGTTTTATCAAAGCCTTTATCTGTCTGAAGAGAAAAACAACAACTCCTGTTAGCAGGTGTAACTACAATAAAAAGTTAGTATGTTACTGTGCTGACAGACAGCTGCCCGTGTCATTTTAATGTGTATGAGAAGAGAAAACGGGAGAGGAGAAGAACTGTATGGCGGCGTGTACCTTGAACATCTCATAGAGGTCCTCACAGAGGTCCTGGACAAAGTTCATGTCAGAGAGGCGGGACAGCACCAGGTCTCTGGTCTCCTGGGAGAAGGCCACCTTAGCCTGGGGGAGCCATGCCCAGTGGAACGGGTCTAACAGAAGGAGGCAACAGTACACTTTGTCACCACCAAACACTGTATGACATCAAACAGCCTTTACCTGCCACTACAGCCAAAGTCTCCCTTTTTCACAAGTGCAGAACTAGTTGAAGAGTCTGAACTGTCTAGCTATATGACACTGTGTCTGCGGTGGTTCTTAAATATTGTAACATGTCCTTCAATTTCTTTTCACCAGGACACTCTCAAAAATGGATCTAGCAAGACTATTGTGGCAAAAACTAATGAATCAAAAATATTCATGATCTTGCAGAGAACTCAGATGTCTGTAAAGTAAACATGAAGCTACAGCAAGCAGCTGGTATCTATACACAAAGACTAAAGCTCACTAACAACATGTTAAGTCATGTTTATTTAACCCTTACAAACACCAAAATGCTGTAGGGTCAGGCTATCTGTTTCCTCCTGTTTCCAGTCTTAATGCTAAGCTAAGCAAGCAGCTGTCTGCTGGTTCTAGTTAAACGTGTAGAGCACAGATGGGTGGCATTAATCTAGGCTCAAAAGCGAATAAGTGAATTTCCACACAATTTAAACTAGACTGCAACTAAAGATTAATTTTACTGTCGATTAATCTGGTGATTATTCTCTTGATTAATCCATTAGTTGTTTGGTCTATAAAATCATCAGTGTTTCCTGAAGCTCAAGTTGATGTCCTGAAATGTCTAGTTTTGTCCACAACTAAAAGATAGTCAGTTTATTGTCATAGAAAAGTAAAGAAACCAGAAAATATTCAGATTTAAAAAGTTGCATTTTGGCTTTTATCTTAAATGACTCAAACCAATTTACTGATAATCAAACTAATTTGCGATTAACGTAATAGTTGACAACTTCTTGATTAGTCTTTGCAACCTCACTTCAAACTATTCCTTTAACTGATAATGACTTTCACAGGCCTGACTGAGAACAACTTTAAAATAATAAAACTAACAAAAATAATCTAAAATTTAAAAGTTTTCTTGTGTTTCACATAATTAAAAAATATTACTATTAGTGCTATTGTCACCGTATTTTAACTAAATATATAGTATGATTGTGCTGTGCATTTTTTGGCATTTTATGGACTAACGGACAAAAAAGTAATTAATCCAGGGTCAAATTCAACAACCACTGTTTACACCATTATTAGTAAGGACAAGGTGTTGACACAAACAATGAGGAGCAAAGACAGAACATGTATGAAGAGAGGTGAGGGAGAAAAGAGACCAACATACAGGCTCTCCATTCGTCCGGGTGTTTAAAGGGGAAGGCCAAGCCGTTGTCGATTGCTGCGATCTTCATGCAGGAGTCGGAACTATTCTCTGGCCACTCTGCATCCTACAGGGAGGGGAAAGAGGATCAGAGACGTCATCATCAACAACTGAGTGAGTGATTTATGGCAAATGACCACTGATCACAATCAAAAGGCCTGATTAATTAGACAGATAGATGACAGCCTTTGCTCCTTTATCAAAGCATGGCAAACAATGATTGATGAAGGGGAGTCAGACAGTGTTCAGGTTAGTGTAATCAACATAGTCACTGGGGTACCAGTTTGTTCCAGACCTGCAATATCAGAGCTATTGTCTGTCTATGTGGGCCCCTGTGTGTGAATGAGTGAAAGAGCATCAAGTGCACGTCTTTGTTCAAACTGTTTTTGTGTGAAAATGTATCAGCATTCCAGCAGTTCACATCCATGAAGCAGTGTCGGAATTTACTCTATAATTAGTCTGAACACACCCTCAGTGCATGCTGATTTAAACTCACCTTTTGTCCCTCCTCTTCTCCTTCTTCTCCTGGCTTCTCATACTTGATCAACCAGTTATCATTTCCTCGATCTGAGGAGGACGGCAAAGAGAGAATGAGGGGGGAGTGTAAAGTAATGCCTGACAAACAATAGCAGACTTAATAAAAAACTTTGAAAGGACTTTTAAAAACTAAATACTGACACCCTCTGTAGTCACACACTAAGATTTTGCAAAGACTGGGGATCTTGCAGGGTCACTATTTGTAAGACTACAACTAGATTCCTTTTGAGATTATTTCCCCATCCTGCTCCTTGTGGAAAATATGCCAAACTCTCCTGAAGAAATATTACACATTAACAAGACCCTTCATATCCGCAAAAAAAATAACAATAAATAACAATAAAACAAGATAAGAGGCATCATATGTTGACAGTATTCTTGTCAATTCGGCATCAGTAAAATCCACAAAAAGTATTTGTGCACAAACTTTACATTTAGGATTTTGTTTCCTCCACTCCCTACAAGCCTCTGTTGCTGTGCTACTGTGGTGCTGAGTGTGGATCAGATACATGCCTAATTCAACACAGACTACTGTTTACTCTGCAACTCCCCCAGTTACTCCTTCTTTTCCACAGAACCAGAGAAATGAAATTTGTTCATGTTCAATATCACCAAAATCAGTGAATGCAGGTAAAACTGCCAACATTTTAGGAACAGGAACGTAACAAATTTGGAGAGATGGACTGTTATGCAATGCTGTATTGAAGTTTAGTAAACACTGTGTTCAAATGTCAACACAGAAACCCCCTCACCTGTGTTTCTGATGACGTAGTCCAACACTACCAGCCGCTCAAACTGTGACTGCAGCTGCTTCCTGATGTTCTCTGGCAGAGGCTCTGCCTCGAAGCGCCGCAGCCAGTAATCTGCCTCGCGGTAACCCTCCACAAACAGCTGAAACGAGCCCACCTGGAAACAAACACACACCGCCATCACATACACATTAAAAACAGCGTGTTGTGAAACTCAACTTGTTGAGATGGCAATAAAAGCGGTTGGGTGCAATGATGTAACATGTAAAACTGTGATGTCAACAGGCCGAAATGTCAGCAGTGCATGACAGTAGAAACACAAAGCCAACTTCCTCATACTACTTCCTGAACACATTCTTTCAGCCACCTTTTCACAGCGTCTAACATTTACACAGCTATAGATCGTCACTGAGGCTGTCTGAGATGAGAAACAGGGAGGTGTAAAACGTTGCTGTACATGTTTTTGAAGAAATGCTAAAATTGGCGCTGGGTGTGAGTACAGCACACGACAAAAGAGATAAGAATACACAAGCACTGTTTGAAGGACCCTGAAAAAAGAACACAGTGTGAAGCAGAGATGACATTTATGCTTCCTCTGACCTATTTATTTGAATAAACCTGTTTTTTCAGGGAACGGAGAGTGTGACACGATTCCTTTCACTGTCCTCCAACAGGACTGCATCAGAAGCTATTCTGAGCCCTCCACTCACTGAGACCACACAAACCTTTCAGTTCATCATGATGAGACAGCGAACCATGTGTATGTGAAATAAAACCATTAACAGAAACTGTGTAAATATGTTCGTATTAAATTGTTATTAGTTCTAGTTAATGTCATTTGTAAAGCCCTTCTCAGAACGCAGCTACAAAGTATTTTACATACATAACAGCTAAAAGTCGGTGACATTACACTATGTAGAGTTACCACTCTCTTTTACCTTTGGTGGCAGGCCCACTCTGTGGAAGCGTCGTCCCACCTTGGGGACTTTCTCTAAAGCGTACTTCTTCCCCCTGGATTTGGCTCTATCGATGGCACTGTAGTGAAACGTCTCACTGGCCAAATACACCACCTGATTATAAAAGGAAGGTGCTCAGTTACAACTGGTTTGGCTGTACCTTGTGGCCACTGCTGGATAGCTTCTGCTACAGCTAGAACACAATCACATCTACATCCAGATCAGTTCAGGTGATCACTTAATATTCTTCAGTACATTTAAAGATTTCAGTTAAACTCCAATAGCATGTTGCAAACTTAAGAACTTTACAGTGCAATATCGTGCATGCAGTCAGTGCCCCACCTTTGTTTTCGGCACCACTCCCAGGCCGAGCTTGGTATCAACCAGTGAGGCAGCGGCCTCTGAGAGGTAACCCTGGTTAGGCAACAAGCAGCCTCGGCCAAAACAACACGGACAGCACAGCTAGTGTGAAAGGAAAAGAGAAAAGGCAAGCTTGAGAAAGCTGCTGCGGAATACATCCCTTTTAAAATCATCATCACAATGTAAACTTGTGCGATAAACACATCACAAAAGGCTGCAGGGATTTTCTGAGTTATTTGAAACATAATATCATTAGAAAACTGCAAATTAAAATGTTACTATCATTCTTGTTAATTGGTACCTTTGTGTTCTGTTCAATATTTAATCCGTTTGTTCATTAACAGAATGCTGGAAATTATTTCCTTTCATTTTCTTCAATTCAGTAAGCAATGTGTTGTATTTTAGCAGCATGCTGCAGCAACACAGAACGGAGTACACTTAAATATCTGTTTATTTATTAAAAGGAAATAACGGTATAGCATATCGCATATTTTCGCATACTTTTACTCCTACAGTTATTTACATGCAGATAAAACATATGACAGCGTACCTTGTGAAAATATTTGGTCCATTTGGGGTTCAGGTGACCGTAAGGCTCCTCTGACTTTGGTTTGAAAACACCAATAATTTTCTGCAGAAGGAAAAAAGAAGGACAAAAGTGTTGCACATGGCGGGCAATGGTAACACAGCACACACAGGGACATAACTAGCAATTTTTAATTTAACGGAACCTTTAAAGAGCAAGATTAAAGAACGGCATGCAAGACAAGTAAAGTTACAATGCAACAAATGTAAAGTGACAGAGATGCTGCTAACAAGTTGGAGATCAATATCTTTTCCCTGAGGTGTACATTAAACTTGTTAATGTGATGTGGCTGGCTGCATTATTCAGCGAGTCTCCACAGTGGATTCCTCCTGTGAACTTTCCAACTCACCTCCTGTTCACTTCTTTCAGCAGATATACTCTGCTGTTTAAAAGTAATGTAGAACCACCTTATAGGGAGCTAAATCAAAAAGCCAGCACGTTTAATCACCAGCTAGAATTTCTACACTAGCAGGATAAATCTGGATGGGGAAAGTGAAGATATTATGCTTTCTTAAATCTCCTAACGAATATAAAACAGCCTAATGCGCGAGGCTTTCAAAATGTTTTAAAGCTATTTTTAGTCCACGCTCCATTGTCCTTCCTCTCCTTCACTGCTCATTTATCAGTGTCATTGCTCTATCCCGTCCTCACCCCTTTTGGGTCTTTGACAAAGTAGCTCCCACTGGAACCCTGGGAAATCCTCTCTGGAAAGACGCCATTCTCAATAGCTTGTTCAGCCCTTTGGATGATATCTGCAAACTCGGGATCATCAGGGAAATGGTTGAAGTCCCCACTGTTGTTACCTGGAGTGGGGAAAAAAGTTCAGATAAATACTTCAGACTAGTAAAATAGCGATTTCCTGCATCATCATGCCACTTTCAAAATATGGTGTTAAATTCATGTCAAGCAGTTTAATGCTTTATTTTCGTGAACCTCAAGTATCATCAGGTAAGAGCCATGGCAACCTGTGCCATAAAAAGGCCATGAATGATGAAAAATGTCTTTTAATCGCTGTATGAATGATGCATAATGTTGAAAAATATTTTCTTTGCAAAACCTATTTCAAGTAAAAAGATAATAGTGCTCTATAAAAAGTGTTTAAACGTGAACTGAGATTTGAAAAAGTCCCAAAACTATTTCAGTAAGATCAATATTTATACAAAATTTAAAGAAAATTCTCACAATTTCATCCAAATAATTTATATTTCTGTGCCCGTAAGCCTATCTACAGGTCAATATTTTGCTTCTCCTCTAATTACCCATTCTCCTGTGTCCTATCATGCACACAATTAGTATGTGAGAGGCAACCGGAGCCATCCATCCATTCTCTAAATCGCTTATCCTGTTCAGGGTCATGGGAGGCTGGAACTGTTCCCAGCACACACTGGGTGAGAGGCAGGGTACAACCAGGACAGGTGGCCAGTCTGTCACACACACATTAACACATAAGGGCAATTCAGAATATTATTTCACCAAACCTGCAAGTCTGTGTGATGAAACCCACACAGGCACACTAATATCCACACACAGGTCAAGTTGGTCAGTGGATTTAAACCTCACTCTGAGGTGACAGAGCTGAATGAGTGACTCGGCCACGATCTGCAGATCTGAAATTATTCTCTGGCTGTGACTGCTGGCTGATGGGGACTGGGTGCTAATAATTCCTTGATGATGGCCCAATCATATGACACGACACGTTCTACTGCCTCCTCCTCAAAGCACAGTCAGCTGACAGAAAGGCTCCATATGCTCTGTATCAGTCACACTAAAGTCACAGTGGGATACAGGGAGGGATGAAGGGAGAGACACAGGGAGGAGGAAAGAATGGACAAAGGAACGGCAGGACAGTTAACACGCCGTTTGTCACAGAGAGATAAGGAGAAACAAAGATAGCTTTGAAGTTAATTCACTTGAAGAGAGGCTGAGAGAGAAGCAAATTAAAAAGAAGGAAGGGGAGAACAGAGGGATGGAGATATGCAAAAATTACATCAGGGACCTGGATTATCTAAAAAGTAGATACATGTCAGGGTTTTGCTCGCCATGTGGCCCGCTTTGAACTGACCAAATAATACATTAAAATGTCCTATCATCTGTCTGTTTGGGGTCAATTTCAATTTCTTTTACTTCACAGGGAGACTCTAAAAGATGTCCACACAGTGTTTTTGTTCCCATTTTGGGTGATTTGTTCCTTCATAAGCTTATTCTTCACTGAGATCTCACTCTAAAAGCCACATACTGCTTAAAGGGAAATTTCGGTTTATTTCAACCCATCTCCTATCGTCCTTAATTTGTTTCAAATGACTAGTGACATAGAAATAATAGTTAGCATGTTAGCCGTTAGCCTAGATACAGCCGTAACGTCAGACCTGTTAAAATGTAAGTGAACGGGCAACCTTCAAGTGCAAAGTTAGTCCACTTAACAAGCTTTTTTTCCCACAAAGACTGCCTCGTATCGTTAGGATAAATGTCAGAGAACATATAGAAAACGACATGTAAACGTGTTGTCTTACCTTACCGGTGTGGTGCCATGTTTGTTTATCATCTAACTCTGCTTTCCAAAGCGCAGCCGAAATATATCTCGCGAGCGCTAGATAAAGCCCAGCTGGATACTAATGTTACTCCAGGTGGAGGTGTCTCGTCCTCGGTCACATCCAGACCTTGAAAATAAGGCTGCAACTGGTCCCATTCCTTGCAACAGAGGCATTCCTCTTCTGTGGGCACTGGGGCACAGCATTCACAGGTACACCACCAATCTCCAGAGCTACGCAGCCTTGCAGCAGCCATTCCTCCTCTCTCGTCCTCTAACGTTACCTGTTGCGCCTCTCTCAGGCTAGCCTAGATACAGCTACGGCTGTATCTAGGCTAACGGCTAACATGCTAACTATTATTTCTATGTCACTAGTCACTTGAAACAAATTTAGGACGATAGGAGAATGGTTGAAATAAACCGAAATTTCCCTTTAAAGCTGTTTATATTTTCAACATCTGTGCATGAGGTGCACCTCAAAGTAGTGCTAGGGTACCAAAACTGATGTATTAAGCAAGGCTGCACTCCTGTTTTGTGCTCCATTTGGCACTTTGTAAGCCTAATTCGTACTGCGAAATTATTAAACCCATGCCCTGAGAGGGAGCCTGAAAGTAGAGCACTTGATGATTTTAAGAGCAAGTCTAACTTCTGCAAACATCACCAGCAAGTCTGATCACCCTTTTGCAAACTGCCTCAAGACTTGACAATCAGCCCTCTGGATGGGGCCAATTTTCATTAAACTATATATACCAGTATGTAAGGCTCCGCAATACATCTAATATATACTGTCAGGGATGGGGATTGATACGATTATATTGATACGTGATCAGTTTTGTGTGGAAAAGGGAGGCCTACACAGGTTTCCTTGTCTCTGAGTCTGAACACAGTGTAGCTGCATGGAGCTAGTAATGATAACTGGATATTTATCCTAGGTAACAGATGTGCTGCTCACAATATTGGCACATGTGTGGAGAGTATCAAATTCATCATAATCCTGGAATTTAAGCCCATGGTGTTGAAATAATCATTTACAAGCAGCACTGTTGTCATCTGTCTTGTGAAATAAAGCCACGTTTTCGACCACTTCTCCCTCTCTGCCATGACTCCTCCTTGTTGCAAGCTTCCAGCAGAGTAAACGCATGAGCTTAACATCAGAAAACCATGCAAGCATTGATAAAAGGAACTGATAAGCTTGGAGACCTACATTTCTAATGGATGGGACAATTTGGAACTGGTTCTCAATTGTAACTGGCTTGCTATTCCCGTCCCTAATGTACTGCCATATTGACCAGGGATCTTGTTTCTCAGTGGAACCTTCCCGGTTACATAAAGAATAAATAAAATATCAATACCTTAATGTGACACTAGATATCATCTTAGATTTTGGATATTGTAATATCATATGTGTTTTCATTCTCCTGGTTTTAAAGGCTGCAGTACAGTAAAGTGATGTAATTTTCAGGACTTTCCAAACTACTCTAGCTGTTCTTTTATTTGGCTTTACCCACTTTGTCATTATATCCACGTTACTGATGATTATTTATCAAAAATCTCATTGTGTGAATATTCTTTCTCCATACCATTCAGCCCTAGCTTACATATAACACATTCAGTTTACGTGAGTGGTATTCCAAACTCCTAGATCCTTATCTGGAGGAATATGTGGTCAAAAAAATTAGCCTTCATGCAACATACCTGGATCAGTCCACACAATGCTGTGTGTATGTCATTGCTGTGCATTCTTGTGGTCTAAATGGAAAATGCTTGATATTAGAAAGACATGTAACGTGTGATCCTCTGGATTTACGCATATGTTACACCATTTTGCCATTTACCTATTATGAGACAGGCCATTCCCTTGCAGCTCATGGCAACCCCCTGAAGCTGGAGGTCTTCTGGTTGATTAATATTTAGCAAGTTATAATTTCTTTCTAATATGCCACAAGAAGTGTGGCCATGAAGGTATCATTTTGGTTCTCTAAAGGGAGCTGATTGGTATTTTAAAAAGACTTTAATATGGAAATAATATGGACAACACAGACTTAAATATAGACTGTGAGAAAGTGGGGTGGCTCTAAATTACAACACTATTTGTCTGTGAGTATGACAGAGCTGACACAATATTTTGTCTTCATCATTTATTTTCCAACAATAGATGCAGTGTGTTTATTGAGCTGTCTTGCCCGATGATTGATGTATACTTGCACTGGATTGTACTGTTGATGAAAGTCTGATAATATCATTGTGTAGTGTGACTGCAGGAGGCAGCAGACAGGAATGTCTCTCTCTGTCTCCATTATTTTCGCCCCACAGAAAGCTTGAGCGAAAGTAACTACACGTGTAGACTTCCTTTATCCCGAATTCCCTCTTCATCATCATCATGCACTGTACTGAGCTACAGAGTGTTTGCATGTCTGTCTGTGGGTTTGCTTGAACAAAGGCCTTATGCATATTTAATGTCTGTCTCTCGGAGCCCTCGGACAGTTAATGGGCCCAACAGAGGTTTTTCACAGCAGGAGTGCAGCTCACTCGGAGCTCTGGAGACCCGCTGACCTGCAGTGCACACGCATGTCGCAACACTGCTGCACTCTGAAAAAGGTTACTGCTAAGATGTGTGGCCAACTTCAACTTTACACTCAACTTTATACCTAAGTCACGACAAACACTTTTGTCCTGTGCTTAGATGGTTACATGATTAAATATTTCATTATGCATGCAAATGTACCAATCAAGATTTAACGTATTTTGCATCATTTTAAATCTGATCATTCCCATTTCTTCCTACACACTGGGAGTACTCTTGGACAATGAACCCTGGTGAAAAGGAGACAGTAGGAACAGCAGTTTGGCAGATAATATAAATGTAAATTTCAGCTTGAAGGACTCACATGGTTTATGGTCCTGTTCCGTGAGATATGCATGGCAGGATGTAACTGCAAGAATTTGCAATGGAGATTGGTGTGACATTTTACATCACACAAAGTGACACAGTGCAACGGCTCTCAGGACTGGGCCTATGTGTGATCCTAATTTGTGATGCACCGAATTAAAATGGTGTTGTGATTCCAGATCTGAACATCATTATTGTAAAAGGCCAGAGGAAATGGGACACTAACACCTGTGATTTCAGGCTCAGTGTGGCTACCTGTGGCCTAGATTTCTGGCCCCGATAGAACAGGGTCGAACAATAGATCTCCGCAGAGAAATAGAGACCAATGGTGAATATAAATGGAAGCGAATGCTCCAAAATTATGTTGCAGGGGAAAAAATGGTGGGCGGTATGAGGGGGAGTGGTGTTGAATCCAGTTAGTTGTTAAGTCAGGATATGTGCCGCTTCCATGGTGACGAGATCACCTTTTCTTTGTTATCCACTGACTGTACCATCCTTTTCTTTTTATAATCCAAGACAAATCCATTGCTGAGAATATGTAAGGCTCCCTGGAAACCTTAACATATCTGCTTGATCTGAATTGACATGAACATAGAAAAACAAAAATAAATTAAATAGTGATAAATCATACTGGGTGAAATGGAGAAAAAAATAAAAATCACAATATTTTGGACCAACTACCTCATTGTTAATAATGAAGAGTTGATTATTTGGGCTTTCACAAGATATTTAAACAATGATATTTTTGATAGACGATCACCAGAAATGTGGATGTAATGACTAAGGAAGTAAAGGCGAATAATAAAACAGCTAGAACATACTGTAATGCAGCCTTTAAAACCAGGAAAAGACAACACTTATGATGTTACGATTACCTAAATCTAATACGACATCTCTTAATAATGATATGATGATATGATTTAAGGGTGTTCAAGGTGAGGCCATTTTGTAGTTACTGTTTACTGTACTCGTGGCTGGACTTCTATGCAGTGCCCAGGTCACCAGGTGAAAGTGCCAGCTCGTATCAGCCACATGATAACATGCAGCTGTTACATCAGCTCACTGGAAAATACACAGATGGTAGATAAAGTACAGACTACATCTTTATGCAAATACAACCCTATAATGCAATCAATGCAACATGAATGTATGGACAGTCTTAACATTAACCCAGCAGTTATTTGCTTAGGAACTCAGTAGTTTTCTGCTGAGCAACAACTACAAATTATTGCTATATATCTTATTAATATTCGACGTTTTGGTTGCCTGCAGGGGCCCTTGGGGGACCATGAAGGGACTCAGTGAAACGGTTAACACTCCCCACAAGGCATGCATGACATCACAGCTTTAACCACGTTGCATTCACTGGTATTTAAATAGCTCCCAGTAATCAGACTGTGTCATTTTCCACTGAACCAAATGCGACAGAAACATACAGTATGTTCCTCAGCACATATCCTCATTGAGTGTGGGCTGCCTGATGTAACTCAGCTGCCTGTGTGTGTACTTCCTTTCATCCAATCTCGATGACATCGATCCAAAACAATTACCTGGGGAGGCCAAGGTGTCTTTATCCGACGACGAACTGTGTCTGTTCCGCCTGCTACGCTTCTCCCGTGCGCCCCGCGGAGACGACGAGCTTCCTGCTAAGCACGGTAACAACAGCGCCTCTTCGCCGGAGCCGTCAGTCTCCAGCTCCGTCAAGACGCTTTCACAAGAGTCCGAGATACGAACGGCGGCTCCGGGGTTCGCCGCAAGTCCCAAACCTATCCTGTTCCTATCAAATAATACCGCTGGACGGTCTGACGAGTGAAAGTTACACTCCGAAGCAGAAACCGCTGTTGCTCCGGTGTCCAGCGCGGGCTCGCTGGTCTCCGTCGGGTCGCATTCTGACATCATTGTTGCTCAGTTTTTAATACATACAATTACATGTACATTAAATTACACCGACTTCCCTTTAAGCTGTCAGCCGTCCATTTTAAACAGACTCCATTGTTTCCACGAGTATATGAAGCCCTAATAAATTATTCGAAAGCAGCTGCTTTCGCTCACCGATATGTCCACATAATCCGTCAAGCTCGTCTGCGCTGCTTCCTAGTTGGGGCACTGCGCATGCGCAACAAAAGAACACCGTTGGACAGTTGCCTTCAAGAGCTCGTTGTCAAGTCCGAACTCCGGAAATTTTAAACCAGGGGTCACCAACCATTGCTAATGAAATGAAATGAAATAAAATAGACAAAAAAAACCCCAAAAAAACAAACAAAATAAAATAAAATGAAAGAGACAAAACAAAATAAGATAAAACAAAACAAAATAAAATGAAATGAAATGAAATGAAATAGACAAAACAAAATAAAACAAAATAAAATAAAATAAAATAAATAAAATTAAACAATAAAATAACATAACATAACTTAACATAAAATAAATTCTGGAGCCACCAAACATTTTAAGTCTCATAATAAAGGGGGTAAGAAATCCTATCTAGTGTAAATTAGCCCATCAACATTACTAGTAGATCTAAATGATTATTCTCCATGCTATTTATGATTATTTGGTACTTTACAGTGCTGGTTGTACAAGCAAAAAAATCTGACCACCATTTAATTCTGTATTTTCCTCCCAGACTTTTTCCTTTTTTGGATTTGGAATGTATCGTTAAGCTAGACTCAAGACTAAACTCAGCTACTGAAGTTTGGCGCCAGGCTGTAGACATTGTAGTTGTTGAAATGTTAAAACATTTTCTTTACTTTGGTGTATAGGCTGAACAGTTTTACAGCTGGAGAGTGTCATAATCACTTCAGACCAACAACAATGATAATGAAAATTAAAATGTTAAACAGTAATTGTTATTCACAACCGTTTCATTTTTTGTCAAAGCCACAGGGAGCCATTGGAGAAGGGCTAATGAGCCACATGCAGCTCCGGAGCCGTAGGTTGCCTACCCCTGTTTTAAACCTTAGCAATTTCTTTGTGAAATTTGCACTCGTTAAAAACAGTTAGGCAAAATATTTGATTTACCATTGAAATCACCAATGTCACATGGTAAGATGATAGCAAATGGGAGGTATTAGCCAGATATTAGCTTTACACTCCAGAACAAGTACTTTTAACATCAACAAAAGACTATGGGTTCACCTGTTGGTCTGATTTGAAGAACGCTTTGCACAGAAACACTTTCTTTCCTTTGCTCTTTCTCTCTCTGCCTCTGTCGCTTGTTTGCAAGGGAACGTTACACTGTACACAATGGGCAAGACCCAAATAAAGCTTCATTTATAAAGCTACAGTAATGTCATCTAATTACACTCAATCAACCTGTTAGTCTACAATTAAGCAGCTCAGAGGCTCCAATTAAACTTTTCATGTTTCATTCATTTCACAAATCTTAACATAGATAGAAATGATTTAGAATAGTGGGCAGACTTTTTATTTTTTTTAACCTGGTGTGGACTAAATTTGAAAGGGAATACCACAAAAATTACAATTTCCAATGGTATTCCTGTGGCCTAGGAAAATTAAATCAATATTGTTAACACTGACTGTCTCTCAAAGCCAGAAACCAGAGAGGTAAGTCTCAGAAGTCTAAGTCTCAAGCTTGTGATATCACCAAGTATAAAGTTTGGAGTTGTTCCATAAGCAATGACGCTAGGTTTTGTTTCAAAATTGGGGAGGACAGGGGGACAGGAAATTTTGAGCATTTAACATTCAACTTCTTGCATCTGCATTCAAGTAAACTTTTATGCATCAATTTGTGGTGGAAATTTCATCAAAATAAAAGCCCTTTGCTACTTAAGAATGCAGGAAATTTAGGGTTTTTTTTTTGGGGGGGGGGGTAAATGTACATACATGCACATGACATAAATATCGAAGGGTCTCCTGTATCCCCCGAAATCAATCTGTAAATGGGAGCCAGAACAGAAAACTGATGCTCTCAGTGTCATCTATATTTCCCAGTTATTTTCCCAATCCATCATCGAAATCTGAGTTTTAGCCGTCTAGTTTGGGGATTTGGAAGAGAGCTGTTTATTATTAATATTTTATAACTTTTTTTAATAATATTTAAAGACTGTCTTACACTATAGAAATAACATGTATGAATTTTGAAAGTGTGTGTAATTCCCCTTTAGAGTAGTGAGCAGATTTTTTTTCACTTGATGTGGGTTAAACTTTAATATCACACAAACAACACTGGAATTTTGAAATTTAAATCATCGTCACACTTCAAAATGTTAAAGACACTCTGTAAAATGCAAGTAGGCCCATATTGATGCCCTCGCTGTCTTTTCATTCAAGTCACTGCTTTCCTTCTTTTGAGAAGTAGCAGTAACTTTTATGGCCACTAGATGTCGACAGTGACACAGAAATGGAGGTTATGGCAAAGTGTTGAGTCCACATGCAAAAAGACTCAATAGAAACATACTTCATTCATTCTTTTTTTGTCTTTGATGTAAAATGATTCTCCTTAATTTATCTGTTCTTCATTAAGTGTCACCAGAGGCCTGATTCTGAGGCTGCCTACAGAATCTCTCTGATTGTAACCACAAATAGGCCTGGTGCAGCCACCACATGGAAAGACATTGACCAATTCTTTCAAGCTCCTCTCTTCAGTTTGGACCCAGCGCAGGTTGGAGAGCCCTGCTTTAACTTTGCCAGGCTTAATGCAGTGATTTTTATTCCTCTACTTTCCCCTCTCCCTTCCTGTCTCCCCTATAAATTCATGGTCTCTCCCTCTTTTCTTTCAATTCTCACAGTGCCCCTCAATCACCCAGCGCTCCCCACAGCACTCCACTCTCCCTTAACCCTCAGCCCCTCTCCACCTATAACTCGGCCCCTCCGTCACCACCCCTCTCCCTAATAAGAGAATGTAGCTGAAACACATGCAAATGAGCAGTCAGCCAGCTGGTATCACAGCAGTCATGTGATCTATCAAGGTAGGGGGTTAGGGGGTGAAGGAGACATGGAGGGAGGAGGGAGGAGGGAGGGAGGAGAGTGCAGGGATAGAAGAGGAGGGAGGATGAAGGAGGGATCTGGGCGGATGAGAGGGAGACGGACAGGTTCAAAGACACGCTGGTGAGACACACAGGCTTCCCTCTGCTAGCTCTTTGCTACATGTTAAAATAATCCCATCAGCCCTCTCTCTCTCTTTGTCCATTAGCTTTCTCCATGCTGCCTCTGCCTCCTTTATCATTTATACCCTTTACTTCTGTATCCCTCCATCATCCAAGGACAAATACCTGAAATGTCACTCGTGTGACACATGACACTTTACAGAGAAGCACATCAGCACACCTCTTTCTCTATGTGTGTGTATGTGTGTGTGTGTCAGTGTACTTCACCCACCACTGGGTGACAAGCCCCTGCAGCAGTCAAGGCACACTGCTTCAGGGGCAGCAGTGTACATGAACATGTGTGTGTGCGTGTGTGAGTGCTTGAGATCCGTCTCACTGTAGCACCCATTCCAGCAGATTCTGCTGGCATAAGATCTGGTTTACCCTGCCAACAGCAACCACCCTCATCCATTCCTCCTTCCTTCCTTCTCCTTTCCCCTGGCTGCTCGATGAGGGAGAGAGGGAGAACCCTCTAGCTCAACTCATTTTTTTTACGTGCATGTGTGTTGTCGGTGATTAGAGCATTTGTTAGTTTGCGTGCAAATATATCCACCCTGCGTGCCCAGATATGAGCATGTGGGCTCCTGATTACACCGTCCACCACAGAGACAGAGACATCCACCAGGGTTTGACATTGGAATGTTTAAAAAAATGCATTTATTAATACTGACTTACAATATACAAAATTCAATTACATTATAAAAGTGAACAATCACACACGTGGCATCAAGTGGTCATCACACATTTACAAATAATTCATTTTGTGGAAGTGTAAATGACGTGGATGGACTGTTAAATATCTCTGTATCATCTATATTTATTTATAAATTTACTAATTTTTCGGCTAGTAAACAGGCCCTGTGTGTCTTTTGTATGTCAGCGCTGGTCCATGTTGGCTCAGTCTGGTGTCTTCTGTGAAGGAGCTGCACTGTGCCATGGCGACACCAGTCACCTGTTACCTGTCAAGAAAGATTCACACAGGGAAAAGACATTCAGAGATTGCATGTGGGTGCCAATGTGTGTTTGTGTGTGTGTGTGTGTGTGTGTGTGTGTGTGTGTGTGTGTGTTCGTGTATGTATGATTTCACAGTGGGAAGGCAGTACCTCTTGGCCCAAACATCTTCAGGTAGCAGTGTGAGCAGTATGGCTTCTCATCATACTGAAACACAGTAAGCAGGACATGTTTATTGCATCTTCCGACACATTCATTCAATCATTCTTATGCTATTTTCCTTATATTTTTCCTCAGTCATTGTCCTCATATACCTCAGCATGTTGTCCAGCTGTGAGTTGTCTGTTGCACTTTTGGCACTTGAGACAAAGAGGGTGGTAGTCCCTCCCTAAGGACCTCTTCTTCTCACCTGCAGCAAAGAAAATGAGGACATATGTGGGATGGTGTTTTTTTAGCTGCCACCAGCAGCTCTGTAGCGCACTCCATTGTGGTATGGTCAGCCTACAAAAATTTCCCCACCCTTGGCGGCCACAGTTTTTCCCCAGGAGGTTGATATTTAGCATGGAGGTCAAGTGTGTGTGGGTGTGTGTGAAGGTGTATATTTCTGTTCATGCCAATTGGCTAAACAGGATGGAGGCAATGGGAGTGGCCTACGTCATAAAGGCCCAGAACTTCCACATGGAACCACAGACATGTCCAAGATTTTGTGGAAAGATTGGTCATGAGCCAAAGAACAGCTGATTAACTGTTCGTGCCAACTGGCAAAGAAGGGCAATGCATGGATGCATGTGGCATATGTGGTCGCAGCTATTGTGAACTTGTACTTGTTTATGGATATTTCACAAGCTGCAACCCTCAGCCCTGGAAAATGAAGCCAACAGGTCACCCACTAGCTCACCTGGTAGAGCAGGTGCTCCGTGTACAAAGGCCGTGTCCTTGCCACAGCAGCCGCAGGCTTGATTCCAACCCATGGCCCTTTGCTTCATGTCATCCCCCCTTATGTCTCCCCCTTTCATACTATATCTGTCCTATCAAATGAAGGCAAATAGCCTAAAAAATCTATATCTTAAAAAAATGAAGCCAGTGCTGAACTGCCACAAACTGCAATTCCTTGAGTGGCCACTTGAGGCAGGCTCTCGAAACGTGTCAATCCCCATAGACCCCCATGTTAAAATGCCCAGCTTTACAGCAAATATAAACATGTTAAAAAACGGGTTTTGGGTTTTCATGGCTGATTTCAGCGTTCTGGACAACTGTACGGTAGGTAAATATTTATATAACTCACTTGTTTACATTTCATAAAGGCTTAAAATGATGTAAATTTAAGAGCTTGAGCGACAGGCTAATTGCGAGGTGTCACTTCTGGCTCCAAAACACCAAGATGGCAACTGCTGAAACGCAGAACCCGAGGCTTCAAAATGGTAGTCCACAAATCAATGGCTGGCGTCACGATAGCTATGTCCATAATTTTATACAGTCTATTATAGCCTATTTCACAATAAGTCAGAGGAATTTTGCCTTAGCACACATAAATTCACAAGGAGTGAGATTCAAGTGTCTGGTTCAGAATATAGACTGCTACTCTCATCAGTTCACTGAACCAGGGGGTGTAGTGGTGGAGGAAATGAGCTAAGTAGGCCAGGTCACATCAGAGAATTTGAACTTAGCTGGCATGCGAATAAAAAAGTAAAAAAATTACTAGCTATGAAGCAAGAGCAACCAGAACAACAACAATAGACTAGAAACAGTTGCTTTAGGAGCTGTGCTTTTAATAGGGAGATCTGAGTGTGAGAGGGGACTCAACTAAAAGAGACAGAAGGTGAGGAGGAAACCCAGAGAGCAGCGTGCAAGCTCGTTTGGCTAGACCCACATCCTGTTGTTATCATGGATACGTGTGCGTACATTTGTGTGTGTGTGTGTGTATGTAGTGTGTGTGCGTGTGTTTGAAAAGAGAATGAGAAAGCCAGACAGAAAGGCCTTCTTTTTGTCCTCCGACCAGAGAATAGAGCCAGACATATCGGCAAATAGACCTCCAAAACCTGTGTAGCACATATCTGAATAAATATCAAAGCCCCTTTTTCAAAGCAGATAGGCCCATATTAACTTGTCATAGAGGGAAAAGCACAGGTGTAACAAATAATGTTAACAATGTCTCTGTTCCAGTCAGCATAATAACAGGGTCCTAATATTGATACATCTAAATGGAATGCAGCCATCGTTAACATTATTAGCTGCACCTGTGTTTGGCAGGTTAAAAGGTTTATTATTAATATTAAGAGAACATTTTCACGTTTATTACTTTTTTTTTTATCCCATTTACCTTGTTACTTTTGTGATCTTTAAAATATATATATATTATCATTACAACCAGAACATTCTCATTAACACTTTTTCCTGTTCAAATGAAACAAGTAAATGTAAGACACTGAGAGACAGACAGAGAAATCAGGGTAACAAGGCCAGAGAAAAAAATGCCAGACAGACAGAGGAAGACAGACATATTGAGTAAAAAATTAAAGAGGTCACACTCACCAAAGTAGACGGGCTTCCCACAGATTGGACAGTAGCCTACCATGATGGTATATAATTATTTAACGTACAGTGTGGTTGCACTTTGAGCTGGCGTTGTGAGAAAATATATGCCGCGAGAGCATATGTGAGCATATGTGTGTGAACTGAAATTTGACAGGAAAACCGTTAAACTGCAGATATGTCGGCGTCTTGTGAAGTCAAAACCAGGATGTGGTGAGTGAGACGTCACAGGAAGAGAAAGATGTGATTTGAAAAGCCATATATTATCGGAGGAGAAAAAAAAAAGGGGGACAGGCAGCATCTCTAATCACATCTTTTCATTATGATAACAGATTTAAGGCCCGTAAATAGGCATCATTTTGTGGACGGTTGTATATATGTTTATACAAACGCTTTGGGTACACAGCCATGACTCTGTAGAAAGAGACAGAAAGAGGGAGAGAGAATGAAAGAGGGGTGAGGAGAGAAGGGACAAAACAGCTGTCACCAGCTCAAGTTCCCAGCTATCTTCTCTCCTTTCCTGCTGTTTTCACCCTCTTTTCTAGATTAAAAACAAGTTGAGCCTCTGAATTGAGAAGAGAAACCTGACACTTGTGCCTTTCTTTCCTTCTTTCTGTCGATCCTCTTTCTCTCTCTCTCTTTCCCTGTCACATACACATGCACGCCCCCGCTCACTGACTCACACAGACACACACCATACACCCCTTTATACTCCCCCATACACACACACCAAAAGGCTGTACTTCTCCTCAATGACATCACATAAAGAGGCTTCAGCCAAAGAGCAGAGGGAGAGGCAGGGTGAGGTTGGGTTGGTTTGAGGGAGAGAGGGGGAGGTGTGTGTGTATCCGTGTATGTGTGTGTGTGTAGGCAGTTATCCCCTCGGGATAGGTGATGGAAGTAGACCTGGGAAGGGACAGGGGTGAGGAGAGATGAGCGAGACAAGGATGGAGACAGTAGCCGGCCTCAGCTCATCAGGGACAAAGAAGATGAACTCTGATGAACTTTGCAGAGCAGAACGGGGTCGCTGGAGTCACTGTGGAGGACAGGCAAACGTCTGTGTGGTTCGATCCCTATCACTGTCAATGGGACTTGTTTCTTGCTTATGAATTACCCAAAGAGACGTAGGCTACAACTGCATGATAGCAGGCAGGAAAATACAGTGGTGGAAGAAGTATTCAGATCTTTTACTTGAGTAAAAGTATCAATACTTCAAGGTAGAATGACACCATTACAAATAAAACTCTGGTATAGCAAATTTTAGTAAAACTTTGTAAGTATCAGCAGAAAAATGCCCTCAAAGAACATGAGTCCTATGCTCAGTACTTTCCAAACATATGCATTTTATGATTTAAAACACAATACAAACAACCTCTGCACTGACGAGTAGCGTGTCTGGGCACAAGCGTGCATTTGAACTCTGCTTGAGTGAAGCTCATGCACGCGCATGCTCAGGCACGCCCAGGGTGTCTTACTTATGGACAGAAATGTTTAATATCATAATATTTCAGTGTAAATATATGTGTTTGGGAAATACAGAGCATACGACTGGATAAATGACACTTATACTTCCAGAACAGATGATCAATATAGGTTTACTGTCATTAAATGTGGTCCCTGATAACTTCCATTCATAAGAGAATGTTTGCGTTTTTGGATTCTTCGTCTATTGTTGAGGCATGCCAGAAAAGCAACGTTTTCTTCAAGAATTCAAGGTAACACGTGGTGAGTAATTATTATATATAAATGGTCATTTTTGTGGGTGAAATAGTCTTTTAACACACCTGAATCTGAACTGTTGGCTGTTGAGTTTTATTGTTAGTGTAGGCTTCATTTTTTGACACATAAGAAGAATGCGTACAATAAAAAAAAAAGATATCTCTGGTTTTGCTGCATCAGTTTTAGTCTTTCCTTTTAACTGCCTATTGTTAGTCTGACAGTGTAACAAGACTGCAGTGCTAAATCGCTGGAGTACTCTCTTCAACTCTATTTTATTTGCAGAATAAAACATTTTACAATGTAATGGTAAGAATTTGAAACTGGTTTATTTAAAAAAAAAAAAAAAAACACTAACTTTATGAAAGACCAAATTCATCATCTTTGGTTGTAACAAATCCAAAAAGCAAACTTATGGTAAGTGATATTGAAACTAAAAGAATATTTTTGGTGGTGATCATAGATAATGAATAATGCCAAAAAGTAGATGCAAATTGTGCCAAAGCAACGATGTCAGAGTCTGCATGTATTGCAGAAAATGAAGTACTTAAAAATCAAGCTTATTGTTTACCTTTTTTTCCATACATATTTACAGTGTTAGAGAATGGGTAAACATATAAAGCAAATACAAATACAATGTACACATTAGGCCAAAAACTAATTGCTAGCTGAAAGTATCCAAAAGTTACAATGCAATTTGACTGCAATAGTCATGTTTAAAATACAAATGGTTAGGACTAATGTTAAAACAATAAATAAATAAGAAATAAAATTAAATACAAATAAATAAATCATTGTATTCCTGTAAAAAGGGTGAATTTCTGGAGAAGTGTGAGGAACTTGAAATTCAATACTAACACTTAAATTGAATGTACAAATATGAAATGATCAGAATGGGATGTTGGCGTTAGTAATGTAGGAATCAAAATCAAGTGCTTCCCTTCCATTGACACTTTTAAGACAAATCTTAAAACATACATGTGTACATGCATGCACTTGTTCTTTACGGTTTTATTCTATTTTATATTTGTGTGCATTTTATATTGCTACATATTTGTGTGTCATTATTTTATTTTGATTTGATTTGATTTAAAAGTTTGTCTGATGTTAATTTTTACATCAAACAAGTAGCATTTGTCAGTTTTTTTATAACTTATTTTAATGACTTCATACACTGCTGGGTACTGTAATCAATAACAATAAACATTCATATTTGTAAAACTTTTCACCCTCAAATAGTAGCAGCTGCCAGATGAATATAGTGGAGTAAAAAAGTACAATATTTCCCTCTGAGATGAGGTGGAGTAAAAGTATAAAGTGGCCTTAAATGGGAGTAATCAAATAAAATACAAGTACTCAAGTACAGTACTCGAGTAAAAGTACTAAGTTACTTTTCAAATACATGCATGCTCGACAACCATGTAAATTACAACACTTGTGATGTTTTATTTTCCCAGCCCTCACGCATCCCAAAAACCTCATTTCTGTTCTTGATGAACTTCAGAAGGCCATGAAATATATGAAGTATTTCATCATTTGCATATTTGCCAGCCTCCTGTGTGTCATGCTTTGCAGAGGGATGGAATACCAAGTAGCTATTTTCATCTGACCAGCCTTCCCTACAGGATAACCTATCATGTCTCTCCATCAGCATTCATTGTGTGTGGACAGCACTAGGAGAGTTACATCCTGAATCGCAGGCCTCTATGCATGCACAGCTTACAATGTTTTTTATGCAAATGATGATGTCATTATTTTAATAGAGAACAGATAGTGAATATGCAAGAGAGGAGGAAAAAAAGCAGAGATTGGAGTCATTAGAGCGAAAGGGAATGGCTAGAAGGAGAAGCAGAGAGGATTTCCACAGGTTGAATTAGAGGAGAATGTAAAGGAACTGAGAGAGAAAGGAGAAATTAAAGAGAAAGAGGGAGCAGAGCATGGAGAAACAGAGGCAATGTAATTGTGAAATGGAGAGAGAAAGGAAACAAGAGGAGAGAAGAAGAGGGGGCGTTAAAACCACATTTCCCAGTGGATCTTTTGGTAAGGCTACGTTAAGAAAACTGCCAAAACTCTTAACACACACATTCCCGCACTGGCACGCACATATGCATGGTTCACTTCTGCCAAGTCATATGAGATACACCAACACACACTGGATGGAGGGATGTGGGAATGTTTGTGTGAGTGTGTGTGAACAGGATTTATAGTAACATTCAGTGAGTGGTGGAAACAGACAGAGCTCGGAGGAGAGAGATAGAGAGAGGGAGAGAAACACTGGCTCCTCTCCTCCGTCTCCTCTGGTGGGTTGGATCTTGCCGAGGCCAAACCCTCCGACGCCGGCTTTGAGAATTGTGTGCGGGGGGGGGGGGGACACAGGAAGAGGCTCAGGAAAGAAAACGGCTGGAAGGATTCCTTCTTCCCACACATAAATGCACTCTTGATCACATGTGCATACACATGAAAGTACACTCACACACATAGACACACACACACACCAGAGCAAAAAGGAGGCTTTGGAAGGCTTCCTTTCCCCCCACTCACTCACACACACCCACTCGTCATCACGTTTCACTTCTTGGCATCCTCCTTTCTCCCCCAAGCCCAGAATATGACATGGCTTTGGGGTTGCATCTCAGCTGCATACACACAATCAGGCTCGCAACACAAGACATATGGCAAACAAAATCATGCAGCATTTCAAACATTTGATAGATGAAGATAACCAAAGCGCCACATGGCGATTTACTTTGTGGTACCTGTTTGAGGAACTTTTTTGCTTTCCTCTGATATTGTCATTTGTGAAAATATCAGTTTTCACAATGACTTTTCCTTGCTTCTTTTGAATCACCAGACCATTAACCGCAGAAAGGGAAACAGCTTAAGCTTTTCTATCCAAGCCAAAGAAAATCTCTCACCCTTCCCTGTGTCAAAGCCATTGTGGTGCTCATCTGGCACAGCCGGTTGGATATTTTGGTGCACCATGGTGTGGCAAGCCATTTCTGGGGTATGTTTTCCACAAATATCCCCTCGGTGATGGCCTTTCTGGAGTCAGACGATCTAAAGGCTATAATCCTCTATTTAGGGTATCAGCGGATGGAAAAGTCAAGAAAATAAGTCCTTGTTTTTCACTATTAATCTGGCAAAGCCTATAAGTCCCCTCGTGCCTCTATGTGGTGATATGATTATGGCATGGCAACTATTACATGATTAGAAGCTGTGAGTAGCTGGATCAGTTAGATTGCATTATGGGATATTTTGTTGTTTTGTATGGTCTGTGCAGAAACCAATGGAGGAATGTTCTTTGTTTATGTGTGTGTGTGTGTGTGTGTGTGTGCCAGTGGCATAAATTACCCAGGTGTTGATGCCGCTCTGACTTTCAATTCTCTTCAGGGCTGATATGCATTACCAACCCTCCAAATGACAACA